TCTGATTCCACCTCCACCTGCTCCGATTCCACCTGCCCCAGCTCCGATTCCAGTTGTCGATCCATCTCCGATTCTACTATTCCATCTCCACCAGCTCCGATTCCACCTCCACCAGCTCCGATTCCACCTCCACCAGCTCTGAGTCCACCTCCACCAGCTCTGATTCCACCTCCACCAGCTCTGATTCCACCTCCACCAGCTCTGATTCCACCTCCACCAGCTCCGATTCCACCTCCACCAGCTCCGATTCCACCTCCACCAGCTCCGATTCCACCTCCACCAGCTCCGATTCCACCTCCACCAGCTCCGATTCCACCTCCACCAGCTCCGATTCCACCTCCACCAGCTCCGATTCCACCTCCACCAGCTCTGATTCCACCTCCACCAGCTCCGATTCCACCTCCACCAGCTCCGATTCCAGTTGTCGATCCATCTCCGATTCTACTATTCCATCTCCACCAGCTCCGATTCCACCTCCACCAGCTCCGATTCCACCTCCACCAGCTCCGATTCCACCTCCACCAGCTCTGATTCCACCTCCACCAGCTCCGATTCCACCTCCACCAGCTCCGATTCCACCTCCACCAGCTCTGATTCCACCTCCACCAGCTCCGATGATTCCACCTCCACCAGCTCCGATTCCACCTCCACCAGCTCTGATTCCACCTCCACCAGCTCCGATTCCACCTCCACCAGCTCTGATTCCACCTCCACCAGCTCCGATTCCACCTCCACCAACTCCGATTCCACCTCCACCAGCTCCGATTCCACCTCCACCAGCTCTGATTCCACCTCCACCAGCTCTGATTCCACCTCCACCAGCTCCGATTCCACCTCCACCAGCTCCGATTCCACCTCCACCAGCTCCGATTCCACCTCCACCAGCTCCGATTCCACCTCCACCAGCTCCGATTCCACCTCCACCAGCTCCGATTCCACCTCCACCAGCTCCGATTCCACCTCCACCAGCTCCGATTCCAGTTGTCGATCCATCTCCGATTCTACTATTCCATTGCCCCAGGCCCCAGGCCCCAGCTCTTCCAGTTTCCATTTGGATAACTGACTGATTCTAACTGTTTCTCTCTCCCCTTATATACGAAAACTCGAAGGAGATTCTTATCTCTTTGCTCTATTTTATCACTTAAAAAAAGTTGTTTTTTCCAAGAACGTGAAATTTTCTTTAAATTTCCCAAAATAATTTTAATTTTTCTAATTTTTTACGCGTGTCCCATGTTATAATCACATTCTATCCTTGTTTTTCTAAAGTGCATGAGTGGCCTAGTGGTGTACACTGTTGGCTATAAAGCCGAAGCTTTTTGGTTCGCCCCCCGCCTAGGATTTCCTTATTTTGTCGTTTTTTGCTTTTTGTGAAAATAAGCCAGAATTGCTTCGAAGGTTCTTGAACAAATTTTCAAGTTTTTACTGGCTTTTTCAGAAAAAAGCATACTTGAAACGGGCCGGGCCGAAGCGACAAAATAAAGCTTTTGGAATTTCGAACGATTTGATATAAATATTGTTAAAGGTGGGGGTCATGAAAAAATAATGTTCTCGAAATTCTGTTTAAATATGCCCCTCGAGGAGTTGAACTTGTCGAGGCGAGTATTGAAGGTGCGGCGCCGCTACCGACTGAGCCATGCGGGCGAAACTGGAGCGGGCGCCTGATTGCATACATAAAGGCGAGGACGACAGCTGTACGCAGAGTGACATTAAGCGTTGTACACCGTGGCGGTAGAATGCATACTCTAGCTACAAAAATCCCCCGTAGAATCTCCTGTCCCCCCACCTTTAAGGTGAATCAAGAGATGGTTATCTCAAAAACTAATCTTGCTATTGTAAAATTGCCAACTATAAAAATATAGAGCATAAAATTTTACACATTTTGTTAGTTGAAAATTTAAAATGGCTTGCATGCTTCTCGAGATATTGGACCTGAAAGTTCGCGCGCCTAGCACGCGAACTTTCTCCCCGTATCCAAGGAGAGGTTCAACAAGACTTATTGAAATCAATTTCTGGGGGTTACTGTTGCAGTGTTTTAAAAAAATCTAAAAAATGAGACAAATTCCGAAATTTCTCCAAACCTAGACTTGAAACTTCATTTTACACATTATCCAAGTTGACAACGGTTTTCTAACTTCTTTAGTTTTTGAGTTATGCGCCTTTAAAGATAACGCACCCCTCTCACCCCTTCCAGGCACAGCCATGCAGATGTATGTCTCACAATAACGCGATATTTTGTATGTATGTAAACATTGGAAACCATCTGTGGCTTTGAGAGAGTGTGGCGCCTCGAGAGACGCTGAGAAATGTGTCCGAGTGGATGTTTTAACGGGACGAAAGAAGCAATACATATCTGAACAGATGGAGAACGACGCCTCAGAGAGTGTGGCGGCTCGAGAGACGCAGAAAAATGGGCGGAGCGTCGTTCCGATGCCTCCGACACAAGCCAAGACCTCTCATTTGTCTCCGACGACGTCCTGACTGAATGGACGTCTAAAATTACCAGGAAATTCTCTGAAAATCCTGGATTTTCGAGAGTTTTCCCCTTATTTTTCTGAATTCACCTATCCACTTTACCTATCATTTACTCGCTAGAAACTTCCCAAAAAAACCCTATAGGGTTTTGGAAGTTTTATTGATTTTCCTGAGAAGGTTAGTATTGAATTTGTTTGAAATTATATTAATTATAATAAAGACAAAAAGAGCTTCATTTTTGTAATTGACAGTTTTTTGGTAGCTACCGTAGTTTTTGAGATATGTGCCTTTAAAGATGGCGCACCCTCTCTTCAGAGACTGTAAGCGCGCACCATCTTTAAAGGCGCATATCTCAAAAACTACGGTAACTACCTAAAACGTGTCAATTGCAAAAATGTGTGTAATTTAATGTTAAACATTTTTTTAGTTGACAATGTTTTGGCAGCAACCGTAGTTTTTGAGATATGCGCCTTTAAAGATGAGGGTTCTAACAAAGTGATTTTAGCTATTCGTGATCGTTAAAAACACATTTTTCAGCATTCTCTACAATGAACACGTGACACAAACGCACAGAAGTAAGAGACAGTCCAACGGAAAGATTCAAAAGCTATTGGTGGCTGTTCAACTGTTTGGATTGAATATGACTCGTTATTACCAGATAGTGGTTGATCATATCTCTCACGCCTTGGTAGACGACAGCACGGATTGCAAGCTATGAATGCGTTATATCTAATATGCACCGTCTTTCGTAACATATTATCTGGATGGGATCTAAATCCTGAAGAGTACCAATTGCATTACCTTTCATTCTTAAAAATGTCATGGTGCATTCGTTGATAGGCCTCATTGAACAACTTATTCCAATGTCAAACATCTTTTGTGAGTTCTATACATTTTCGAATAATTGGCAATTCAAATTTTCAGGAGTGCAACTTGCGTATACCATCGAACTACTCGCTCGTTTTGTGACACCAATAGAGCTCTCAGACAACGTTTAACTTTTTTTCAATAAATCGTTCAATTTAAATCACTCAAAATCACCAAAAAAATCTTTATCAAGATATTAGAAATAGACAGAGGGACCGATTCTTAGTCGAAATTTTGAATTCATACTAAAAAAGAAAAGAGCTTCATTTTTGTAGTTGTCACTGTTTTGGTAGCTATAGTAGTTTTTGAGATATGCGCCTTTAAAGATGGACAGCTTGAGAAGGAGTGCCCTAGGGGCGACATCTTAAAAGGCGCATAACTCAAAAACTAGGATAGTTCGAAAAAAGTTGTAAACTATAAAAATGTATGAATGTCTGAAATTATATTAATTATAATAAAGACAAAAAGAGCTTCATTTTTGTAATTGACAATTGTTTGGTAGCTACTGTAGTTTTGGAGATATGCCGCCATCAAAGATAACTCACCCCTCTCTTTCCAGGCAGAGGCTTTCAAGGCCACATACCGTAAAACCTGTATTAGAAGGGCTCCCTAGAGACCTCACGAAAAATAGAAGTGCTCCCTCTATTTGAAGGCCCCCCCCCCCTATTTGTAGTACTCCCTCTAATTGAAGTGCCCCTTTGATTACCTTCTTTGATATTTAGCCATTTTTTCTGTTCTTTTGATTGAAAGACTGTATGATTTTAAAAAACACTGGCACCTGAGAATTTGAATGCCGTGGCTCTAATACAGATGTTTCTCTCGTTCGATTTGAAAAATTCTGGGCTTCAACTCTGTCCTACAATAGGGCCAAATCCAACTTTCGCGCCGAGCTTCGACCTTTGATTCTAAATTTTTGGCTTCGAATCGATCGGTCCAATGCTTAATGATAGGGACAGTAACAGATGGTTCTTCATCAATTTCTCTCATTTTCTTCCTAATATCATAATTTTTAAAACCAGAAGGGAATAAAAATAAAATGACATTTTGAAATTGTATTAGGTTGTTCGGAAAGTCCTTTCCATTGTTAGCGTCAGATACATTCAAAGTAAAATCGGTCAAAACGATGGCGGATAAATTGGATGTAATGACCATCGTTATCAATGTCTATCTGTCAATGCCCCACTAAATTGTGGATGCCTTCGTTCCAGAACTCCGGTCACAGCGAGTTCAAAATCAAGTCAACCCATTTTTGATACGTTGTTTTGAAGTAAATTTTGGTCAATCAAGATGAAGTTATAAGTGGCTGGATGGGTAATAATCAGAAAGTAGAAGGTTAGAGCTATACAGTGAATAAGGCAGAATCGTCTAGACATATCCACCGAGATCGGCCTGGGTCTTCCTTCCCGCATGAGGTTGCGAATTTTAATTTTCAAAATGAACCTTTGCGTTCCTCTACAATCGAGATCCACATAAAGTCTGAGTTATGTCACCTGACAAGAATAGGTATGGGTCGTAAAAGTGACACTATTATCAGGCAGCTCCCAATACCCCATTCTTTGGTAGACCACCATACCGACAACATCCCATTTTTAACACGAATTTCACGTTTCGAGACGTCTGGTGGTTGAGTGCCTTTGTCAACCCACTTGGCATGTTGCTTATTGTAATCACACATTACCCATTTATCACCACTAGCAATGGTTTGATTCCAACATTCGTGTGTGCAACGCAGGATGAGAATATTCAAACAGGTGCCCACCCGGGTAAAAGAGTTGCGTTGAGCCAAAAGATGGGGGCAATTTCTTCCCACTTTTGCAACTGTGCCGAGAGTTTTCATTCTACGGTTTTTAACGAAAGGCTTGCCACTGATGTACTTCATATATCACACTCAGTTTGAGGAGGGTCCCTTTCTTTCCCGGCTTTTAATGCATCCAAACCTAAGCCCATTTGCCTTTTTGAAGGGGGGATTTTCGTCAAACAAGAATTCTCGTTTTTCAAATTACTGAATCCAGGTTGTGATGGTAGTTCGAATGGGTGCATTTGCGTTGTTAACCGCTACTAGTTGGCGCTCGATTTCAGCTAATTTAAGATCAGGATATAAATACAATTAAAATGATAAACACCATATTTTACGACAAACTCGATTTTTTACACCATCGGTTGGCGCTGACTGAGTTTTGACTCGAAACTCGAGTTTCTCATCAAATTCTGGTTTAGAATCATTTTTTCTGGATCTTCTAGCTCTATTTTGAAAAGTTCGGTGTTTGCGGACTTTTGAAACTACAGTAACCCGGAAACTCAACCTTGCTGAACCCTATCGATATGGGTATCAGAATTTCAGAAAATTTACGAGGAATTCAAAAATTTAAATTTCGAAATCCGCCCGGTTGCTATGTTACAGCTGCGTACAAAACACCGTATCTTACGACAATTTCGATTTTTCATATCTTATGTTAGCACAGGGTACTTTTCAATAAAAAATTCAAATTTATCAAAAAATTTCAGTCAGGATACTTTTTTTTCTGTATCCTCTACCTCCAATTTGAATAATTCGGTGTTTGCGGACTTTCAAAACTACAGTAACACGAAAATTCAAAATTCAAGAAATCCTATCGATATGGGTATCAAAATGACGGAAATTTTGTGCTAAATCCAAAAATAATAACGAAAAACTTCAATAACTGAAACTTTCAGAAAAAAAATCAGAAAAACCCACATTCTCCAAATCTCATCATCACAAACGGAAATCCCATGGCATGAGAGATATTCAAGCCAGCCATTACTGTAAAAAACCAGCCACTTGTTTTTTCGGTTACTGTAATTCTCGGTATAGAACTTTCGTACACATCGTCGATGAGCTGAAAACAGAAATTTTGGTTTTTCTGAAAAATTTTAATTTTCACATTTTCAAATTTTTTCGTGAAGTTGGAGAAAACAACGAATATTTGTTTTTGGTATGTTGAGAGCTTTGAAAAGAGCCCCAACACGACTATTGTAGCTTAATTTTGAATTTTGACCTACCAACCGCGACGCGACCGCAACGCGTGGGCCAAATTTCAAAGTTAACCGCATCTAGTCGTGCTTAGGCTCATTTTGAAGCTCTAAACGAGCCAAATTCAAATTTTCAACTCATTTAAGCATACCTCTTCAGGATCCAGAATCAAAGGGACATCTCCAGTTGGAGATTTCACAACTTCATTCTTCAAATTTGTCATTTATGACCCAATTTGTTCGTCATCTCGAATGTAAAACGGAACACAATCAAAATATTCGTCTAGTTTTGATTTTGCTATTCTCTTGATCCAATTGAAAGTGTGATTCTCACGAGATGCCAGTTTGCCATCGTCTGAGTCGTCGCTAAAACCGTTTTTTAGGTAAAATTGAGGTTGAAATAGGTTTTGGAGAGCTCAAAATTCAATTTTTGAGATTGTCGTGTCGAGAGCTTCAAATTGAACCTAAACACGACTAAGTTTGCTCAAATTTGAAATTTGACCAGTACGTTGCGGTCGCGTCGCGGTTAGTAAGTCGAAATTCAAAATGAAGCTGACTAGTCGTGTTTGGGCTCATTTCAAAGCTCATTACATAAAAAATTGCAAACTCCAATTTATTTCATTCTAGCTCAAAAACCAACAAAACTACGGTAGTTTTAACTTTAGTGCTGAAAACTTCCTGAATCTTAAAAGCGCTGTAACCTGGTTCATTTTCTGCCTAAAACGTAGAAATTACAAATTTTGAAATTTTGAAGTCTAGTCCCTTAAAATGAACCTAAACTCGACTAGGCTCCGCCCACTTTGAGTTTTGAGGTTAGAGACGCAGTGTGTCTCGTTTCTCTGGCACTCTAGCCTCAAAAGTGGGCGGAGCCTAGTCGTGTTTAGGCTCATTTTGAAGCTCTAAACGAGCTGAATTCAAAATTTAAGTTTGTTTTTTGTTGGTACTTTTCATAAAACTCTGGATCCTCGATTACGGTTGTCGATGATGTCTCATCGTTTTCCGTGGTCATTGTTTTAGGATTTTTTCAAGAAAGAATTGAAACAGTTATCTCAAACTTTTAATTTTTTTTAATTATGGGTAAAATAATAAGAGAAGTTTGAAGAAAATTTCAGAAACATTTCAGATTTTGTGGATATTCTGGATTTTTTAGGTTACAAGGTAGACACAACGTGGAAGAAAAAGACATTTTGGGGAATCCGAGGGATTTCCACGGGGAAAAATCAATAAATCAATGAATCGAATGACATCTGACGCGATACATCTTCTCGCACGTCTTGCTGGTTTTGCGACCCATCGTTGGGGTGCATTGAACAACGATTTCACCGCTTGGAAGCACTTTTAGACGTTGACCGTACTCTCTGGAAATTGAATTTTGGGCTTTGAAATTATAAAAATTGAATTTGGCGCGTTCAGAGCTCCAAAGTGAGCCCGAACAAGACTAGTCCAGCTCAATTTTAAATGTTTAGATAATTAACGCGACGCGACCGCAACGCATTGGTCAAATTTCAAATTTGCCCAAGCCTAGTCGTATTTAGGCTTATTTTGAAGCTCGAAACGTGAGAAACACAAAAATATGTGTTACAACATATTGTAACAGAGAATAATAAAGTTAGACGGGTTTCACGTTTTAGGTGAAAACCCTTGAAAATCACTGAAATCGCTATAACTTGCTTCGTAAACTTGAACATCTTAGAATTTTTGAACATTTTATAATTTTAGCTTTGAAATGAGCCTAAACACGACTAGTCTAGCTTAATTTTGAATTTCAACCTGCAAACCGCGACGCGACCGCAACGCATTGGTCAAATTTCGAATTTGAGCGAACCTAGTCATGTTTATACTCATTTTGAAGCTCTTTTCAGGACAATTATGAAAATGCATATTTCATGAAGTACGTTTCAAAATGGAGAAAGTTACAATAGCTTCAATTTTTCAACAAAATATGGTCACTTTTCAAAAAGCCATAACTTTCCGATTTTTAGTCATTTTTCAATATATTTTGTATCTTTGAACGTTTCAAGTTTTACTCTTCAAAACGAGCCTAAACACGACTAGTCTAGCTCAATTTCGAATTTCGAACTATCAACCGCGACGCGACCGCAACGCGTAGGTCCAATTTCAAAATTGAGCAAATCTAGTCGTGTTTAAGCTTATTTTAAAGCTTACAAAACGCTGAGTTCAAAAATTTTAATTATTCCTGGTCAAAACAAAAATGAACACTTTTATGACGATTTTTCAAACAAAACAAATGATTTTTATTTTCAAAAATTCAACCTGCCGTAACTTTCCAAGTTTTGGGCCTATTGTGGTAAGTTTTGCATATTTGAACATTTTATGTTTTGTGCTTCAAAATGAACCCAAACACGACTAGTCTAGCTCAATTTTCAATTTCAACCTACTAACCGCGACGCGACCGCACGCGTTGTTCAAATTTTAAATTTTACCAAACCTACTCGTGTTTGGGCTCTATTTGAAGCTCTAAACGGCGTCCTGAAGACTAGACAACTCACTTTTCAGCTTTGAGCAGGATGATCAGTTTACGGTAGAATGATCCGTGAAGAAGCATTTTTTTCGAGATTTTTTTTCCAAAACTTAAGAATCCGTGCGAAATTGAAAGACTGAATGTTTGTCAGGAAAACCAAAATGGGCGGGAATCTGAGGAAAAATGTACGAATCTTTTTCTTGGCGAAATTCAATTTTTTGGAAAATAATTAAATTAAACATTTTGGGAGGCGAGGGTGGAGGAACCAGTCTCCGATTTTTTCAAATTTAATAAAAAAATTTATTTTTTCGATTTTGGTTCGCTTTGCAGAAAAAAGGAAGAAAATTGAGTCAAAAATCCGAAAAAAAATTTCAGCACAAAAAATTTTTTCAGCCAAATTGAAAAAAAGTAAACATACAAAACACACAACATACAAAACACAACAACATTTTAAATTTTAATCTTCTTCTTGTTTAGGGCTCTCGCCAGAACCAATTTCGAGCGCGCCTCCTCGAATTCCATGAGCACTTTGATGATTCTTTGATAGAAATCCGAGCGGAGGCTGAGAAAAAATTAATTAAAGTGTCTGAAAATAGTTTGAAAGAAAAAACAAAAAGTTTTAGCTCAGAAAGTTTCGAACCCGCGACCTTCAGATTGGTAGACAAAGCTGCTAGCCACTAGGCCAAAATGTCGGTTTTTAAAATTTGAGCGAAACTGCTCGACATAGGTATCAAATCGTCAGAAATTTTAGATGAACTCGAATTTCTAAGTTTCAGCTTTCAGAATATCGGATTTTTGTCGAAAATTGGACGAAAACACCACATTTTACGACGATTTGCATTTTTCGACAAAACCATGACTCCAGGGTTTCCGAAACTTTGAAATTTGAATTTCTTACAAAATTTCAGTATTGAAATCAGTTTATAGATTCTCTAACTCGATTTTGAAAAATTCAGTGTTTGCGTACTTTTGAAACTACAGTAACCCGAAAATTCAAACTTTTTGGAATGCGGTCGATATGGGTATCAAAATGTCGGGAAATTTATGAGAACTTCGAATCTAGCACTCAAAACTTCCAGAAAATTCCAGTTTTCAGAAAAACTTCAAAAACTTTTTTCTCAAAAAAAAGAATAAACTTCTCACCCCATATCAGCCATCTTGCTACCGTATTTCAGTTGGTACAGTATGTCTCTGGCCATAAAATGTCTGGACTGAGCAATGCAATTCGTCTGCACACACACGATTCCAGATGGTTGTCCCTCTTGTCCAACTTTTTCCAGAGAATTCTGAAAATTCACAAAATTTTAAAAAAGTTCAATAGAGCGCATTTGCTTACTCTCAGCGTTCCAAAATAATTGATATCGATTGCCTGACCCACGAACATCTCATATAAGGAGTTGTGGCTGATCGGACGCCATAGATGAATTTCAGAGTTGGATCTGGAAATTTTTTCACTCTAGAAAATTTTTTTTCCAAGTCGCTAGCGTTATTTTGAGATTTTTTGGGTTACTGTAGTTTCAAAAGTCCGCAAACACCGAATTTTTTGAAATTAAGCTAGAAGACCCGCGACAATGAGTTCTGGGAATTCGAATTTTATGTTTTCAGAAATCTATAGTTGGTTTTTTTTCTAGAAATTTCACAATTGTCGTAAAATTCGGTGTTTTATCCGCAAACACAAAACACCTGGGACTTTTGGTTTGTTGTCTAAACTTCTAAGTTTCTTAAATAGTTGCCGTTATTTTGATGCGCATTGCGATAGGATTCCATGAATTTTAAATTTTCGTGTTACTGTATTTTCAAAAGTCCGCAAACACCGAATTCTCGAAAATTGAGACAGGGGATCTAGAAAATAGTGTCCTAAATTAAAATTTGATGGGAAATTTGAATTTCGTGTTTTTTAAAACCGTAGACTTCTTGTTTTCTAGAAACTTTCGAATTGTCGTAAAATTCGGTGTTTTGTCCGCAAACACCAAAAATCGGATAACTGCAATCTTTGTCATCTATATTTTTGAATATCTTGTGCAAATTCTTGCCATTTTGACACCCATCTTAATAAGATTCCTTGAAATTTGAATTTACGGGTTACTGTAGTTTGAAAAGCCCGCAAACATTGAATTTTTCAAATAACGCTACAGTACCCCGAAAAAAAAGTTTCTAAACCAGAATTGTTTGAGAAATTCGAACTTTTTAGTTTTTAAGACCGTCGATTTATTGCTTTCTAGAAATTTCACAATTGTCGCAAAATTCGGTGTTTTGTCTGCATCACCTTCAAAAAAAACGCGACAGTGCCCTAAAAAAGTTTCCAAACCAGAATTTTATGAAAATTTTGAATTTTTACCTTCCAGGCTCCAGCGAAATATACATGGACCCATAACCAGCGATATACTGTCGTCCCCAGTAGTCAACAGCCATAATTCTAAGCATGAGCAATGGTGACGAATCCAAAGTTCTGGATTCGAAAATGAATTCCAAAATGAACCCGAAATTTATGATTTCTCCAGATTCTTCTGCTGAAAATCTTTGGGATCTTCCAGATGGATTTTTGGATTTCAATGAAATTCCAGATGGAATTTGTAGTTTGTAGTCTATAGTGAGACCCTCGTCGAATAGAAAATCCAAGCCTTTTTCTGAAAACGTTTTTTTTTGGAAGTTCATCAGAGCGAATTTACTTACCCAATGAAACATTTACCACAGATTCCATCAAACCGTCTCTGGCAGCCATGAAAGTTTCTGATTCCGGAATACTGCTCTGAAAAATCGAATTTTTGAGGAAAACCATGAGTCTGGTATTTTCAAAAACTAATAAGTCAGATTTCTCATCAAATTCTAGTCTAGAAACTGTTTTTCGAGGGTTTCTGGCTCCATTTTGAAGAAAGATGCGGTGTTTGCAGACAATACACCAAACATTACGACTATTCGAAAATTTCCAGGAAACAAGAAGTAGAGGGTTTTTGAAAACGCAAAATTCCAATTTCTCATAAAATTCTGGTCTAGAACTGTTTTTCGAAGAGATCCTAGCTCATTTCTGAAAAAATCGGTGTCTGCGTACTTTTGAAACTACAGTAACCCAAAAAGTCAAACTTAACGGAAACCGGTTGATATAGGTATCAAAATTTCAGGAATTTTATGAGAAATTCGAAAATGTAGCTCAAAAATCTCAAAGTAACATACTTAGTGTTTGCAGACAAAACACCAGATTTTACGACAATTCGAAACTTTTTGAAAAAAAAAGAAGTCTAGGATTTTTGAAACTGCAAAAATCAAGTTTTTCATCAAATTCTTGATTAAAAATTTTTTTTTCGGGGGGCCTAGCTCAATTTTGAAAAATTCGGTGTTTGCGTACTTTTGAAACTACAGTAACCCGAAAACTCAAACTTAACGGAAACCTTTTGATATGGATATCAAAATGTCAGGAATTTTATGAGAAATTCAAAAACTTTTCGTTTTCGAGATCTTTCCAAAAAAACTATAACCCACCACACTAGTTCTTCCTTTTCGACTGCGTCCAAGTGTCTCCTCAACCAATTGGTCCTCTCTTCCTTGATTTTTATCATCGATTTTAATTTTCACAATATAATCTCCAAATTTTGTTTCCAGAAGAATCTCATCTTGGTTGATAGCTGGTTCTACAGTAATCCGATTCAAATCGGTTACAGTAATCCGGGTGAGGAGCTCCACTGCCGAGGGATCTCTGGAAATTGTTTGTGTTTTTGTAACTGTTAGGAAATTTCTGACATTTTGATACCCATATCGCTAGGATTCCGTGGAGTTTGAGTTTTTGGGTTACTGTAGTTTCGAAAGTCCGCAAACACCGAATATCTTAAAATGAAGTTAGGAACCCCAGAAAGGACGTTTTTAGGGTAGAATTTCGTGATAAATCGCAGTTAAGCATTTTCAGAATTGGTTGATTTCTCGATTTCTAGATATTTAGAAATTGTCGTAAAATTTGGCGTTTTGTACGCAAACACCACACACTTTTCAAAATTGAGCCAGAAACCCTCGGAAAATAGTTTCTAAGCTAGAATTTAATGGAAAATCCGAAATTTGCGTTGGATTTTGCATATCTCTAATGGTTTCACTCTAAATTCAGATTTTTCAGAAAAAATGATTAAACAACTTTTTTTTTACTCACTCAATATCCATTGGTCCCAGTCTGGCAAAAATGTACAAAAATTGTTTTTTGATCTCCGCGCGGGTCGCTGGAGTGTCTCTCCACATCATATAGTCATTTCCAGGTCGTCTGGAAATTTTTGAAAAGTTTAAAAATTCAAATTTGGCGCCAAAAATTTCAAATCCTACTCTTTCAAATCGATTTCCTTGATTTCTGCCGGTTTTTCAGGTTGATATCCACTCAAAAATTCTGGAAATTCTTCATTTCCATGAAGTGTGAAAATTCGGCTGTTGCTGAAATTTTCAAAATTGTTGAAAAAATTTTTTTTTTCAAAATTTCAAAATTTTCAGACCTATTCTCAAAATGTCCAATTTTGTCGTTCCATCCAAATTTGACGTCATCTAGACGATTTTTCGTCGGTTTCTCATCAATTTGAGCGTTTTCCTGGCCGAACTTATCGAAATCCAAAGATTGGATGCCTTTTTGAAAGAGTTGGACTCTGAAATTTTGCAAAGCAATAATTTTTTTTTTCAGAAATTCAGAAATTCAGAAATTCAGAAATTCAGAAATTCCGAAATTCAGAAATTCAGAAATTCAGAAATTCAGAAATTCAGAAATTCAGAACATCAGAAATTCAGAAATTCAGAAATTCAGAAATTCAGAAATTCAGAAATTCAGAAATTCAGAAATTCAGAAATTCAGAAATTCAGAAATTCAGAAATTCAGAAATTCAGAAATTCAGAAATTCAGAAATTCAGAAATTCAGAAATTCAGAAATTCAGAAATTCAGAAATTCAGAACATCAGAAATTCAGAAATTCAGAAATTCAGAAATTCAGAAATTCAGAAATTCAGAAATTCAGAACATCAGAAATTCAGAAATTCAGAAATTCAGAAATTCAGAAATTCAGAAATTCAGAAATTCAGAAATTCCGAAATTCAGAAATTCAGAAATTCAGAAATTCAGAAATTCAGAAATTCAGAACATCAGAAATTCAGAAATTCAGAAATTCAGAAATTCAGAAATTCAGAAATTCAGAAATTCAGAAATTCAGAAATTCAGAAATTCAGAAATTCAGAAATTCAGAAATTCAGAAATTCAGAAATTCAGAAATTCAGAAATTCAGAAATTCAGAAATTCAGAAATTCAGAAATTCAGAAATTCAGAAATTCAGAAATTCAGAAATTCAGAACATCAGAAATTCAGAAATTCAGAAATTCAGAAATTCAGAAATTCAGAAATTCAGAAATTCAGAAATTCAGAAATTCAGAAATTCAGAAATTCAGAAATTCAGAATTC